AATCAGTGTTTCCGAGGATTCAGGAGGAGGAGGAAAAGCACAATGAACAAAGAGCATTTTTAGGGCAGTGAGCCTATTCTGTGTGATACTGTCATAGTGAACATATGACATCCTCAAAACAAACAAAAAACTCTGCCATTGAGTCAATTCTGACTTAAGGCAACTCTACAGGTGAGGAAGAAATTGCCCCTGTCAGTTTCCAAAAGGGCAAGTCTTTATGGGAGTAGAAAGCCTTGGAGTTCTCCTGCCGAGCAGCTGGTGCTGACCGAGCAGTTAGCAGCCCAAGGGTAGCCCATTGTGCCACTGGGACTCTGATGCCTTAGTGTTATCAATGCTATAAGCCTCTACAATGTAAGAGGCAAACTATCACCAAAAAGGTGAATCTCTTGCCCGACTCTATGTGTGCCAGAGCAGAACTGTGTGCTCGGTTGGGTTTCCTTGGTTATGATCTTTACAGAAGCAGGTCACCAGACCTTTCTTTCATGGCACTTCTGTGTGGATGTGAACCATCATTTGAGTTGCAGTGGAACTCAAAATGATGATGCCAACCAGTTATCTTTGGAAACTATGAATCTTGGTTATTATATGTCACTGGTTTATGAATTGTGAGGATATACTACATGAATGCAAGATTCCAATAATATGGAGGAAAAAAACCCCTAAAAACAATGTGCTCTGAGAAGAGAGAATATACGGGAATTTTCTGTATTTTTGGGAGATGTTTTCCTTAAATTTAAAGTGACTCTAAAATTAAAAATAAGTAAAACATCTATGACAATAAGTGAGAAAACTTCAAAAATAAAATTTTAAAATCCCTACAATTCTGAAAATAAATTGAAAAACAAACAAAAAGAAAAAACATATCTGTTAAATGAAAGTAGTACTTATAATATTGTCTAGTATGATTTGAAATGCTTATGATACTTGATATATAAGATAACTGTAACATAAATAGGGAAATATATAAGACTTGTAAAAATTAAAAATAAAAGACTTGTATGGTGGTAACTGCATTAAACAGTGGGCAAATACTGAGTGTAATAGGCTGTGAGAAGTCAAGTATACATATCATCCCTAAAGCACATGTACATATACACAAACGAACCTGCAGTCACGATTTGTTGGTTTTGTTTTTGTTAGGTGCTGTTGAATCAATTCAGATGCATAGCAAACTCATGAGACAGAATAGAACTGTCTAATAAAGTTTTGGCCTAGTTCTTTTTCATGCAGTGACTCTGTGTATTCTTTCCATCTCCTTTTGATATTTTGATTTAAATATTTTGCCCATAGAATCTTTCAATCTGCATGTGAACATTGGACATTGAATAAGGAAGATGAAAAATGAATCCATGCATTTGAATTGTGGTGTCGGTGAAGAATTTTGAAAGTACCATGGACTGCCAAAAGAACAAACAGATTTGTCTTGGCTGATGTACAGCCAGAATGCTCTTTAGGGACAAGGATGGTGAGACTTTCCTCAAGCCTCTTCAACTTTGGACATGTCAGGAGAGACTCGTCCCTAGAAAAGGCCATCATGATTGGTAAAGAAGCAGGCAGTGAAAAAGAGGAAGACCTTCAACAGATGGATTGTCACAGGGGCTGCATCGAGGGGCTCAAACATAAGAACAATTGTGAGGATGGCTAAGGACTAGACAGTGTTTTGTTCGGTTGTTTATAGGGTCACTGTCCCTTGGAACCAACTTGAAGGCACCTAACAACACAACAACAACGAAGTTTTCTAGGCCTTAATCTTTATGGGAGCAGATTGTACAAGTTTCTCCTCTGCAGAGCTGCTGGATGGATTTGAACCAGTACCAGGGCTACTTGTATTTACATTAAATTAAAAAAATGATTTAGAAAGTGATATATATATATATAAAGATGATGTATAAAAATGATACATCCATAAGCTAACAACAATCAGAAAAGAGGAAAAATGGCAAAGGGAAAAGTTAAAAAAACTACCAGAGAAAATATCCACTTAAATATGGTAGAACATTCATTCTTATAACTGTGTATTTACCTGTAAAAGTAAGGAGGTCAGAAGGAAGTGTAACAATGTTTTTAAGTGCTTAAAAGTTTGTACATTTGGGGGTGACTCGAAATGCTATCTCTAGAAAGAATACAATTAAAAATTTCAATCAAAATAAAAGGCTTTTCTGACAAAGGAAAACTAAAAGAATGCATTACGACAAAATTTCATTCTCAAATATGTTAAAGGAAGTTCTTCATATTTAGGAAAAGTGGCAGCAGTAAACTAAGATGAAGTGGGTCGGTTTAAAAGAGGAAGCCTCTCAGAGAGATGAATTGACACTATTTTGCAGTTAGCCCAGGAGCAAGCCATGTTCTAGTGCACATGGGATCATTGCGAGTTGGAATGGACTCTGTGGCACTCGCAATAACAACCACCACAAGAATCCGTAGCGTGCAATGTATGAAACACATACAGGTTGGGAAAATATGAGCAAACCTAAGCAATTTTTTTTCTTACACTTTTTGAAATGCACATGACTGTTATAAGCCAAAATTATAAAAGTGTGTTTAGGGCTTATCATTTATGTCATATTTGGGTACATAATTTGTCATATGTATGCCATGATTTATGTAACATTTATGGCTTAATTTACATCGTGGCATGTCATAATTATAGCTTAAACACAGTAGTAAAAGGGTCAATATACTTACATGGTTTAAGGTTTCTAGAATTTACATGAAGTGGTACATGAGGAGCTAAAATAGCCTATGAAAAGTTAAAAATGAGTATGTATTGGTTACCCATATCATATAATAACCACTAAAATACAAATGCAAGTAATTATACTTAAGAATATAGTGAATGGATGAAAGTTGATTTTTAAAGCATAACAAGAAGATGTTGAGTACTTTGAAATGCTTTTTCAGTAAGTGATGAGAGATACCATGATTTTCCTCATTGATTCATGAACGCATAACATATACAGCACCATTTTAAGGTTATTATTATCAGCAATTATCCATTTTGTCTTACATTGTGACACTTAGCTTTGTCCTCTTGCAGCAGAAATTGTTTAATTGCTGATTAAAGGAAATGAGACATTTGGTGTAGTATCAGGTTAACATATAAATGAGCATATGAAGGACATGTGAAAAAAAGGAAAGCACAGTTCTTTACTTATTTGACTGAAAAGCCCGACATTTAAAAAATGTTGCTTATGTTCTCTTCAATAAATTGGACACTTCCTGTTGTCTAATTCCAACCCAGAATCTACTTGTAGACAAAATATTGGGGGGGGGGGAAGACAAAAGAAAAGCTATATTATTTGGAGTAGAATATAATATTTTCAGTTCATATCAGTTTAGAACTATTAGTAAGATATTTTGAAAACAACTTAGAATTCTGAGTGATCTATGCTTTTCATAAGGTGGTTTGCAATATTCTAATATACCATCTACATTAGCCACATCAAACAGATTCTTTTACTAGTAAGGAAAAAGATTCAACAAAATACTAAACTTACATGAAGATGCAGAACATGGCTTTTGAGAGTCTTGAATTTTTTGGGGGTAAGATTGTTCCTGTCTTAAAATATTAGTTAGGGGACCTTTTTGTATTCTAGAGTAGAGGTCAGTGAAATTTATTTGCATCCATTTATTTACATATCTTGGGGTATTTTCTATACCCCAGTGGTATGGTCCAATCTCCTGCCAGCCAAATCCCAGTGTGAATCTCACCCTTGGAAATGCCAGAGCTTCAGAGATCTTTCCCACCCGCTCTTGTACACTGAGACCATAGCTGGTTGGTACAACCACCTGTGATCCCTAACCTCTGATTCACGTCAACATTACATGTGTCGGTTTTTTCAGTGGCTTCATTGACGCTTCAGCTTCTTCACTTCCTCTGTTGGGATTCGAATCATTTCCATGTTCTTCAAAGGATCCTGACTAATCATGGCATCATATAGTCACAATAGAAATAAGAAATAAATTATTCAAAGTAAGGGCTGTCCTTAATCCAAATGAAGAATAGTAAAAAACCCTCTTTGCAAATCATGTATGCAAAAGAAGAATTGAATACCTCAAATCCAATTGTTTTTATTTTCTTACTCTTTTCTATAAGTAGAAGATTAGCTCATATGTCTTCTAGATCATCTTTTTAACTTTCCACATTTATTCTTATTTATACCCAATACCTATTCAGTATAACTATTACCACGGTCATCAGTTCAAAACCTCTGGCAGCTCCATGGGAGAAATACTGGGATTTCTACTTCAGCAAACAGTTACAGCCTTGGAAATCAACACGGGGTGTCTATGAGTCAGCCTTGACTGGATCGCAGTGAGTATTTAATATAGGTTTCAGAAGGTACCAGAATCCAATGACTATTAATGTGATGGATAAATATTCACACAAATATATATAACAAAAAATTGAATTAGCTTGACTTTTGATTTATTTTCAATATAGCTAACTTGTGGACATGTAGCTCTTACAAGAATAATGTATTAATATTATAAATGGAGGACAAAATACTTGCAAGCAAAGGCATCGAAATCATGTCACAGTGTTAGTTCTTTAGCCTCTGCAAGTAAAGGTTACTTGAAAAATCACTTTTATGACCCTGAGTAGTGAAAAATACCTCACTACACACTAAAAAGTATTTCTTAAATAAGTCTAAGATTTTGGTTTCTCTGCTATTATGTCAACTATTGTTACCTGTGCCTATTATATTTCATACTCATATTACTGGTGCAATAAAATAATTAGGTCTGAGGCATCATCCAGAAGACAGGTGCAAACTTGGAGATATTTTCTCTTGAAAAGAAAAAAGACTTAGCAAATGTTACCTTTATCAGAAATTATGCTGAATATGTCACTTCAAAATCAATAACCAGACAAAAAATAGTCCAAATGCCTTCTTCAGGTACCTAGAATCCAAATAAGCAAACAAGCCCTCCCAACCCAATGATTTCCAGTTGCCTGCGTGCCTCGCTGACTTATTATCCATACCCAAGACATTCATCTATGTCACTGGTAACAAAGAATTAAATGAAACCATTTTTTTCTTCAAGAGCCTTTTCAGAGCTTCTTTGACGTCTTTGTTTCTCAGAGAGTAAATCAAAGGATTCAACATCGGTGTGACCAGGGTGTAACACAAGGAGGCCACTTTACTCAATTCAGGAAATCTGTTAGGAGTGAGATACATAAAAAAGACAGCACCATACAGCACACTCACGACTCCCAGGTGAGAGCTGCAAGTGGAGAAGGCTTTCTTCCGTCCTTCAGTGGAGCGTATCTTGAGAACTGTAGACACAATATACATATAAGAAACAATTATGACGGTCATGGTAGGCAAAATAATGATGCTGGATACAAAAAAGGATACCATTTTATAGATAAAGAGATCAGAACACACAATCCTCTGTAGTGGGCGACTATCACAATAGAAGTGGTCGATGGCTCTAGAAGCACAGAAGGACAAGGTGAAGGTCATGCTAGTCTGAAGAACGGAAGTGACGCAGCCGCAGAAATAGGAACCAGCCACCAGCTGAATGCAGAGATGTGTTGACATCTGAACGGAGTAGAGGAGTGGATTGCAGATGGCGATAAAGCGGTCATAAGCCATGGCTGCCAGGAGAAATCCCTCCGTCACAATGAAGAGGGCAAAGAGGAGAAACTGAGTCACACAGCCTGTGAAGGAGATGGACTTGCTCTCCGACCAGAAGGTGAGCATGGCCTTTGGCGCAATCACCGATGAATAAAAGAGATCAATGAAGGAGAGGTTGCCTAGGAAGAAATACATCGGTGTGTTCAGACGAGGGTCGTTCATGATAATGGCCATCATCCCAACATTCCCTAAAAGGATCATGGTATATACTAGAAGAAATGTCAGGAAGAGGAGAAGATGGAGCTCTGGGCGAACCTGGAAGCCTACAAGAATGAAGTCAGTCCCTTCTGAGTGATTACTCGGTGCCCTGTCGCCCATGGCAGAGACCTGCTGAAAGGCACAAGGTGAAATAAACAAATGAAACTGTGGCTTTGGTTTTAGTGACATAAATACAGAAATATTGAGACAAATTATTGACCAGTTAATTAAATACTACCTAGAAAATCGTATCCAATTACAAAGAAGTATGAATTGGGATTACACAATAATATTCTGAAAATGCAAATCTATTAATCATGGACAGATAGAAAGAAGTGCTTCGGTTATTTGATTTAAATAATCTTTTGCACACATGTTCCAAGAAATTAGACTATTCTTATTATATAATTTCACACAAATTCTGAATTTATAACAATGTGTTCATGGTTAAATAATTATTTTTACTTAAATTAAGATTGCTATTTTTCATCTCTAGGATTGTGATTTATGGCAATTATGACAGTCATACATTAGGATTTTTTTACATAATAGTAACAAATATTTTACCTTAGTTTATCTCAGTTTTTCTAATTTCCTTAACACTGCACCAAGCATTGAAAAAAGAGAATAAAATAGACAATTTATTGCCATATTAAAATTAATAATGGAAAATAATTAAATAAGATAAAATATTCTACAATTATTTCCAAAATTGTCTTGCTATTCTTCAGATTAAAGTTATCTTCCCAAATATACCTGTATTTTAGCATTGCCTTCTTAAAGCGTTTCATTTCCATTAGTAGTTGTTCAACTAGGAAATTCCATAATCATTCAGCCCTTTTTATTTGGAAGTACAAGGATATCCTCATGAATATTCCAAACTTTACACCACAATGAATGATTTTCTATCAAAGTTGAATCAATTCATGGGATCTTACTGTTTAGTCAGGGCAAATAAGCTTAAGGTATAAATCTAAAGAAAATTTTGTCTCCTGAATTCTTGCATGTGTGCGGTCTTCATGTGAGAAAAATATAAACCCCATAGATATATAAGGAGTACAATAGTCTTATGTCATCCAAAGTCCTTGATTATCTACCAAAATATCAATAATAATTGTCTCTAGTGGCCGTAATTATTTTCACTCCTGTGCAACTCTTTTCAGGATATTTCAGCATTGAGATTTTGCTCATCTTTTCTGATGGGCTCCACTGGGAGAAGAATAATCAAAATATCAATTATGGAGATATAGTGTTGAGGCGAGGGTTGGTGTTCATAAGGATTATGGAAACCGCAGGTAAATTGCAGGTAAAAAGTGTAAGCTAGTCAAAATATAAGGACATTTTCCTTCTTTTGCTGTGTGTATACATTTGGAAGTCCTCTCTGTACACTATTTTCCTCATTGAAATTAAAGAAAAACTATTTTCTATCACACTAGACATATTGATAGACAGAGAAATAAATTAAAAATGCATAATATATAAGAAGAACTTAAGAAAAATGTGTATTCATTCTCTTTTAATGAACTATATTTTGAGAATTTGAAAACCCATTCTCTCCTAATAATTTTTCATATAAATTTTGATGGCACACACATTCCATGAAACCCATATTCCATGACAGTTTGAAGATGTACCTGTCACATATGAGTGTTTTAATATATCTTCCCTCATGTGTCTGTGTTTATGCTCTTCTATAACTAAAACTGGATTAGGTTTAGGACCCACCTTACTCTGTTATATACTCAGTAGCTCAAATTTTTAAAAATCTTCTATTTCCAAATGTGGGCATATAACAGGTACATGGGTTAAGATTTCAATACATAATTTTGGGGTACACAATTCAATCAACAATTCTACTGAGTGATGGGAAGACAAGATTAGAACTAGAGATATAATACTCTTTTTTCCCCCCTTAAAGTATTTAAATGGGGAAGTCCTTTTATTGGTGAGAAGACCAAAAGGCATGGTCACCTATTAAGCCTATACTCCTAAAACTATGCACACTTAAACTTAAAAAAAATCATTTTACTGGGAGCTCTAACAGATATCATAACAATCCATAGTTCAACCATACCAAGCAGTATTGTACAATTCTTTTTGAAACAATCAGTTTCAAAACATTTTCTTTCTTCTCCAACTCCTTGATATCAGCTCCCCTTGTATCTCCTCCCTCCCCTACCCACCAGGAACCCTAATTAATTTTCCCCCATATAATAGTTTTCTTCTTCTTTTTTTTTGTTGCCATATCTTACACAATCTAAAATATCCATTCCCATACAATTTTGTTGTTTGATCCAAACCAGTGGGGTTATACAGTCATCAATGTTATCAGCTCCCTATTCCCCTCACCCTGTCTTCCCGTACCCCAGGGAACCATTCATTACTCCTGTTACTGTTTCAGAAGGGTTATCTCTCTTGACTTTCATGTACCAAATGATCTCAAATATACAAATAAACATATGCAAATCTAACATGAATAATGAGATAAAACAAATAAAAATCATAATGGTAAGGGGAAGAAATATTAAAGAACTAGAGGATAGTTATATTGTTCATCTGTGCTATACTGCATGCTGGATTTATCCTTTGTTCATGTGCCCCTTCTGACAGGGACCATCCAATTATATTACAGGTGGCTTTTGGGTCTCCACTATATCCATGCCCCTTCACAATGGTTTGGCTGATTGTTTTTGAACTTCTGATACCTCCTCCCATGAACACATCATGATCACACAGGCTGATGTGCTTATTTCATGTGGGTTTTGTTGCTTCTCTGCTCAATGGCTGCATGTTGAGTTACAAGCCTTTAAGACCTCAGATGCTGTATCTTTTAATAGTCAACCACCATCAGCTTTCTTCACCACATTTGTTTAGGTACCCATTTTCACTTCAGTGTTTATGTCAGGAAGGTGAGTATCATGCAGTGCTGTGTTAGTAGAACAAACTGTTCTTGAACTAAGGTAAGATTTAAATAGAGGTCCAAAGTCTATCTATTTCCTTGTTGCATTTGCATATGCATACATACATAAACACACACACACACTCATTTATATTTTTCTTTTTTTCCTCCTATCCACTATTATATTTACCTGCCAGTCACCTCTGAATAATTCCTCTCAGATACAATTCAATTGATTAAACTCAACCAGAAAAGCGACACCCTCCTCACCATGAATTTTAGAACCCTCACTCTTCCCCTGGACCCATCACTGTTTGCTCCACACTCACCTCACCCACTCCCCTCCCATGGCCCTCAGGAAGCATCGGACTAGTTGCTGTCTCATAAGATCGCCTTTCCTGCCTATCTTATATAGATAAACACCAAAAAGGAAAAAAGAAAATAAATAATAAATCACCATACAGATAGTCACACGACTAACAGGGATCCTGACAGAGCAGATGAATATCTCTGTTAAACAGAGAGACGGACGTGTTATAAACCGTCAGTCCAGCCCCACTTTCTTCTAGAACTGCAGATCCCGGGTCCCGCTTACCTAACAACTCACACGCCCTTTCGGTCTTCAGCATTTGTGTCCAAAAGGCGTGCATCCTAAAAGACCCCGTTGCTATTTCTGCAGTCAGGAATGGAGCGATTTAGTAACACCCCCACCCACACCCCAGTTGCACCTTTAGACTTTCATGTGGCCCCCTTGTGAGTAATCCCCAACCAGTCAACCAGTTCCGATGGGTGCCAAGTACCGCCTCCGAGCCAGAAGTCTATGATCGGGATTCTTCAGAGACTTCGTGGCTTTGCTCCATCACTGGGCTCTTGCGGCCCCTCTTGCCTTGCCCCCACGTGTGTGGGTTAGAGCCACTGCTCTGCCTGCGCTGTATGTTTAGGGCTGTCCTCTGCAGCGCTGTCATCTAGGTAGGACGTCATAAGCTGTTATAAGAATGCCATTCATTTTAATTTTTCTATAAATTAATTATAATCTTATGATTTAAAAACCCTCCAGCTTTTAATAAACAAATATTTATAGAACCAATTTAGATATTTCTCAGTTTACTGATGGCAGAACAACGCAGGACTAGAACTTTTCTTTATTATAATATAGTAAAATTAGTTCAACATGGAAAGAAAACCATTGTTAGTATTTTAAATGGAAAGATATGTGTTAAGGAGTATTGAGACTGATAACATTGGAAAAGACTGGAGGAACATTTGCTAATGCTCTTGTAGGGACCCCTACATCACTATATGATTAATTCTCAGAGAGGCCACTACTAGAGAGGTGATTTCAAAACTCAATGTCATAATTATGATCAGCTATAGGAAAGCAGCAAATATCACCTACCTCAGCATTCCCAATAATTAATGTTGCAGAAAAATAGTAATTAAATAACACATTTCTATACCTTTCCTAACGAGCAGAAAAAGCCAATAGTAACAGGAATATGGTTTCTAATTCACTTTGGTCTTCCAAATTCTGTTTGTATGACCTTAATTGGTAGAACCAAATCTACATTAAGAATGCATGGCAACAGGGATGTTATAACTTCTCAAAATCTCTAATTAGAAATAATATAGGGTGGATATGGGAAACTTAATCTATAAAATGTATCAAAATCCAACATAAGAAGTTTCATACTTAACCTTTCAACAATTTCATTCACAATGACAGTGTGCTGTTGCCGATTGGAAACACCAATCATTGCCTGAACTGGGTAATAGTGGAACTATAAAGAAACCCTCAGAAAACTCAAGGATTTATGTCCTTCAGTGCATGTTCTCTTGTTATGAAAAACTTATAATGGAAGTTGATTTTCCTAATCAATGGGCACGGACATTAAATACAAACACTTTATAAATATCCAGGGGTAAAAAAATAAGTAAGCTAAATTTTAACTTAGTATAAGCTAAGTGATAATAAAGTTATGATATATCTAAATGTCTGAGACACAGTAAATTAAGTGCTTAGAGGGATATATTAAGTATTGTATACAAATATTATGAAAGAAAAAAGCAGAAAAGTTAGCAGATTATCTTATTTTTAAAACACTATTTAGAAGTTGACCAAATTCTTCTTTTTTTCAAGAGGTAATTTTGTAAGCCTACTACACTATTCTTTTTCTTTACAGCAGTATTTAGACAAGAAAAGTTGGTAGAGTGGTACCACTTACAAAAATACCTATATGTGGGAGGTAGTTGTTTGCACACGCTATTTGTGGGGAAATGGTAAGGTTCTATC